GAACCGTTTAACTCAGCAGTCAGACCATAGTCCACCGTGCAAATAGCTATATCTAAAGTTGTTATAAAAACGGAAACATATTATATTTTATTAAAGACGAATATTTAATGACATTAATAACATATATTTTATTTTTTTTTTACTTGGATTTTTTTATTAATAAATTACCTATGATTCTGTTGGCAGCCTTGAAATTAAAATCAGATTATGAATTGGGGACAACCGAATATGACTACCANTACTTGGATTTTTTTATTAATAAATTGCCTATGATTCTGTTGGCAGCCTTGAAATTAAAATCAGATTATGAATTGGGGACAACCGAATATGACTACCAAATTGCGAATTGTTTGTTTTCTCAATTTAAACAAGTAAGTAGTATGGACCATTAAAATATGACCGATGAAATATTATGTTACTTTTTTTTTTCAGTATGACATGATGTAGTGACGTATTATGGAAAAGGGGGCGGAATTCAAGAAAAACTAAATCGAAGTTTATTGATTTCACCTACTCAATTGTTATGAAGTTTTAATGAAAAGTTGTTGAAATATATTTGTTTTTTCTTCAGGTTAATTAATTAATAACTGTTAGTATAGTAATTTTTAATCATAAACAAATAATGGTTTTTGATTACATTATGTTTTATTCATTTATTATTTTATTAAATTAAATACAGATTTTTGAACGGCATATTGTTGTAGTGTAATGTACTCAATGTTAAATAATTATTGCGTAGTCCTTTGTACCGAAATTTTCCATAAGTATTCCCGTGGACTTGGTAATTCCGTTACTTCTATTTCCAATAAAATATATATGCTGTCTTTGGTCCAAGAAAAGAAGGTTATGTCAACTTTTAGAATTTTTTATAAATGTGTTTTTAAGCTACAAAGGCCAGTCAAAAATGTTCGAGATATTTTCCGGTAGAAGTTACACCAAATTAAAATAAAGGAATCATGACATTTATCTGTTTTCATTTGTCGTCTAATGTAAGTATTTTGTATAAGTTTTAGCTCTTTACGATTATTAAACCTTTAATGGCGTAGACTTCCTCTATTTTTTTTCACTTTTTACCGGTTCTTCCCAAGTATTCTACGAAAACCACGCGGAAAATAAAAAAAGATTACCTTAGCGGCCCAGCTATATAGATCCGTTATTATAAGAAAACGCTATCTTCTCGTTGTTCTATCGGAACGAGATTTCTGGTTGAAAAAGTTGTTTACGTTGTGTTCGGACTTTTAAAAGAGAAGCGTATACGAAATCAAAGGAAATTTTCCGCTTTAGAAGCGCGTCGGT